ACCATGAAAAAACTGAAATGCAAGGAGGAAACTGAGGTTGTGGCTCAGACATTATATAATAATTTGGTCTCAGTATAAAAACCATCTATCCAGCTTCAAATTATACAGTTGATTGACTTTGGTGAAATCCTTTTCTTGAAAATAACAACCAAGCCAGGACCCACAGTCTTGGCCTTCTTAAATGTACTAAGTGTTGATTGATTTTGGTACTGGTTAGATTATTTAACTGCAAATCAAAACTGAGACAACTTTGCATTTGACCGCTCCATTTTGTAGTTCATTCAATATTAAGACATTTCTTCCGATTATATTTTTCAACCATTATACTTCTAAAACTTTTATTGAATTGGCACCAAATGAGAATTAAAATCAGAAATACGGACCTAGAAACTTTGTCAAAGTGAAAACTGAACTAGCTCTTCCATGGAAATTTGTAATGCTCATGCCCAAACACACTCTGGTCATTCAGCATCAACCTGTCAATATGCTTCTTCCATTTGAAATACACCTATATAAATTTCTTGATGTTTTTCATTTTTACAACAGGGTGGTACCAGCACAATCTAAGACTGAAGAGAACCAAAATCTGAAAGGGGAGAACACAAAATGAAAGCATAACACACGAAGCTTTGTTTTGAAGCTTTCATCCACACAGCAGTTAACCTGCAGTTTCCTTTCTTTCGTTTTCCCAAGCTCTGGGATATTTTCTTTTAAAATAAGTGCTTTGGAGACCATTGTATTTCACCAGGAATAATCTGAGAGATCTGTGCTTTGCACAGAAATTAATTCATGTGTCTGAAATAAGTTTTTTTTTCCCCCCAATGATTTCTCTCCATATTCTACTTCTAATTTAGTTGAAAAATGAGATTATTAACTAACCTAATTTTTTCTTCATATTATTATTAATTGGGACAGCTGTAACATGAATGTGCTTGGCAGGAAATAATATCATAATGACCAGAAAAAAGAAATGCAAAGAATATATTGGAAAGAAATGTTCTAGACATCATTATGAAAATAGCTTCCCTGAATACAAATCATCTCCCAGAGTCAGGAACATATACTTAATTTACATACAAGGGAACTTTGCAATCTACAAGAAACAGCAAGTTGTAACTCATATATAAGTGATGTTATGATTATTAACAAGCTGTAATACAATGAAGTAGTGAAATAGTTGTAGAAACATAGTGTCTAACAGTGATACATCACATAAATGTACATTTAAGAGCATTACAACAGGATTTTGTCAATTATTTGTGTCCAAATCTAGAATAACTGATAAAACTAGTAATACTTTTCCACATCCAGTGGTTAGCACTACTCGGTGGGTAGTACAGGAGTATCACAGAAGAGATATGGGGGAAATTCCTGAGCTAGCAATAGTGAAGCTATAGTTACTAGGAAAATCTAAACCCAGCCAGTTCACAGTTGCTAACGGTACTTCACAGATGACTGATCTAATACATTTTTTTTTCACAACTGATTACGAAATCTCAGTATAAGATTGCAAGGTGGTAACAGAGAGTGGAAAGTAAAAAGAGCAAAGAAAAAAAACTCACAATGATACTGTAAAAAGTCTAAAGATTACTAGCCACTCCAGCTCAGATCAAAACTCTGGCTCCATATTCTCTCTCATCCTCTTTCTAAAAAGTAGTTTCGTAACAGCATAAAAAACATTCATTATACTTAATGCCCTTCAAGATTTTAAATGAAAAAAAAAAAAAAAACAACAGCAATACAATATACTCAATACACTATGTACTTTATGAGACTGTTAATACATGCCTTGGGCAGCTGAACATCTTCAGTCTTTGGCCTTGTGCTACACAACACACCCAGGCATATATTAATGGCCCCATAAAAACATACCCTGCAATGACTTGCGGCTTAAATAAACATACTTGTCTTTCTCTTTTCCTCCTCCGAATATTGGATGCAGTAAAACTCCACCAGTCTTCAGTTCATAAGCCACTATTTGATCTAACTCCTAAAAAGTACAACATACGTAAGCAAGCATAATTTTGAAAAGTAGAGAAATTATTTAAAGAAGAAAGGAAAGCTTTTCATACCTCAAGCCATACCTCCTAATTAAACTTGTTTACAAACACAAAGACCATTTTAAATTCAGGGATGTTCCTCAGCATGGCAAACAATAATAAAACAGTAGAAATCAACAGTTCATACTTGTTCTGGGTCCAGATTGTGGATCAACCTACAACATTTAACTACAATATATCTGAAGAGTATTATTGTTTGATAAATAAGTTGTCTCTGACCAAAAGAATGAAAGGCGATCGTCACTTCCTTGCAGTGGGAAGTCATACTGGGTATACCTACACAGCAGACTGCGGCTCACCTTGACCCATGGCCAAACCACACAGAAGCCAGCTCTGAACCGGAACATGAGTTTGAATGTGTGTGGTGCTGTGCCCATGTTAACAAGCACACTTCAAGGCAAGACGTTTGCATGGGCTTACTATCACCCAACAGTCAACATGGCTTGTGAATCAACTCAGGTCAGCCTGAGCATAGGGAGAGTGAATTGATGGCTGTCTGCAACCCAGTATTAGTCAAGGAATCTCCAAATGTTGATGTGTATCGATATTCATTGATTCATATCAACTTACACACTTTCATATATTGATAGTATGTTCAAAGCACTAAGGACAGAAACAGAGGCTGTGACAGCAGCATCTCTTCTATGTGGAAACACTTAGCTAACTCATAGGGAAGCACATGAGCAATTAATATCCAGAAGCAGCTTCTGCTGCATGCAGCAGTGAACTCTCAAGATAGACCTTCACCCAGTTCTGCTGTTCTCTATAGCACCCACACCTTTAGCACAGACAGCACCCGACTGGCGAGATGTACATTCGGCAGACAAGGATATGGTATTGGGTGTCTGTGTTAGTAAGGGATGTAAACAGAGCCCATGGGGTTAGGAATCTAGTTTTTGGAAGAGTAAGAGAATGAGATGAGAGGAAGAGGAAGAAGATATACAATTTTTTGTGAATGGACGTTACTGGCAAAGAATGAGGAGTCGCTGCCGCCATCACTAGAAAGTACCTGTCTCAGAGCATTATATTCAGAAATGTAAGGTATATACAGAAATTTCTTTTCCAAGAAAAACCCCTTTAACAGGGATTTTTTTACTGTTTCATTATTTAATTTAGTACTTAAATGATACTAAAAGATACCTGATCCACTATTGATCCAAGCTAACCCTGGAGCCCTTCTGGGCTATATGGCTGGCCATCTCAGTATAACAAATTCACCAAATATTTCTCCCATATTCTATTCTAAGAGTTAAAAAAGTACAATCTTTCTTGAAGACTTCTCTTTTTGTGAAAAAGACCAAAGAAAAAGATGAAAACTAATTGCACAGAAAGGCAATGAAAATTATTATTCATAAGGCAGTCACAGAAACGTATTCTGTTTAGTGTGTTCGTGTTAAAAACATTTCAGCTCTAAGTTTTGTCACTGCTAAACATTTATTTAGATTGCAGTGCAAAACTACATTATATTCTGGTTTTATATTTGATTTAAAATGTCTGAAAGATACAGAAAATACTGCTATTATGGTGCTACCTGTTTAATCCAGTGGCGATACTCATTAACGCCAAAGGTTTTCTTCATCCAAAGGCCGTAAATATATCCAGAGATTCCCTTTAGCACCCATTCATCTGACCTGTAGTAAGAAAGAAACACGAATTATAGCACTTCAGAAGGTATTTTGTAAGGGATGGTATTTTTGACCAGCTCAAAATAGCCACAAATTTCAGCAGGTTATATAACTTCTCTAAGTCAATAGGAGTCTGATGAGCTGCGAACCAATTTATGTAACTTGGCACCTGTATGGGACCAATGAAACTGAAAAGCCAGTGAAAACCGAACTTTTACCACAGAAGTCCAAAGTTAAAATATAAAAGCAAACTATTTTAACTGAAAAAGTAACAATAAAGCAGTGGAAACAGACACTAAAGTTAAAACAATTGCTAATCTTAATTTCTCCATAAACATCTCAATGCAATGCAGAAGATTTGGACAGCAAGCAGACAAAATACTTACCTTACAATTTGATGACACCCATTTAAACACTTCTTCCAAGAGTTATGTTTTAAGCGAGAAAACTATGAATAAAAACTACAAAATTACCACGAACTAGAATTCTAAGCAGAAGAATGACACACAGGGTATGAAGAAGTGAATAAAATAAAGACCTAAGAAAAGCAAGTCATTAGGAGGGAGGAAAAAATTGTCTTCACAATGGAAGTAGGCTAGAAATAAGGAAGAGAGCAAGAGAAATTACAATAGGACAAACATCAGTTTAAAAACATGTTGATTTCTTCTGTTTTAAGCCAAGGATACTCAGGATATACACTTTTGTCATGAAAAAAGTAAAGGGCTCCTTGCCCCTGATACATAAAGTGTACGCAAAAGGCTATAAAACAAATACTGAACAGATCTGCAAGAGCCAGCTGGGGAAGATTTTCCAAGAGATGGAGTTATAGGTTGCTTACCACCCCAATGAATTTGCCCATTTGACACTAATTTCTGCATTCTTCTCCCTGAACTTCTTTGTAATTTATTAGTTCTGTGCTCCACAAGTACTTCCTATGCAGGTTACACTTCTTCATCCAAAATACCTGACAGAAGTTTACTGATGATACAAAAGAGTCTCCCTTCTAGAATTTCCAGGTGCCAAAGCACATCACAACATGCAGTAGAAATAATTTCTGAGAGAAGACGTGTTCAATCTCTACACTCTTTGGAATCTTTGTATCTCACATTCTCCTTTCAAACAACAAAAAAACCCTAACAAAACACCAAACCTCAAGGATTTTAATTTATTGAGCTGATTTTATTTCCCCCCCCTTTTTGTTTTGGTTGATTTTTTTCTAGTTTGTTTGTTGGTTGGTTTTTTGGGGTTTTTTTGCTTTCTGCCTACAGTTACTGATTCACTTATTCTTCTGATAAAATGCAACACGCAAATTAAAATTTGACTTTCCTGGGTTTTCCCCATTTTCTAAAGAGTACAATGGTAAAATACTTACCAGGACATTCTGGATATAAAACATCCAAAGAACTGCTGGGCCAGGGCCTGTGCTAAGCACCTCCTTGTCAGTGGAGTTTCATCTATAATCATTGCGCTGTGTAAGAGATTTGTGCTGGATCCCCATAAAAAGAAAATAACATAACATGAGTACCAGCTCCAAAGAAACAAAACAGAGACTTCGCTTTAAAAGCCAAAACCAGTAAAATAATTCCTTCACTGGTTTTCCAATAAGATAGTAACTTTTTTTTTTTTTTTTAAATATCCTTAGTCCAGGCAGGTCTCCTGCTATTATCATCTATATACAACTTTCTGTGTAGAGCCAAGGTAGTTTGTTTTAATCAGTGAAACTCTTTTGGATTCCTGGTACCTTATCCCAGCTGAAGAAAAAAAAACATAATCAAACTTCTGCACTTAATTTGATCTTAAATATTTCAAGCATGGTGTTTCTAATTCAGAAAGAAAACCACTGCCAATTTTTTCTTAAAGATGATACAAATCCAACATCTTTATAACAGATAAAATTGGAAACGGTGTGCAAAGCCTGTAAGGTCAACAAAAGTCAGCCTTTTCAAACTAGAGAGCCCAAAACTCAGCCTACAAAAATAATAAGAGCTTCACATACCTCTTAATAGTCTTGGATCTAGAGGCTTCTAGGCCTGTGGATTTAGAAGGTGTAATTTTCTCAAATACTAACCTGAAAATACTCATGGATGCATAAGCAGCTACTTCAACATAAGCTTCATCTATAAAAACAGTCTTGAAACAGGAGTACGGATAGCGGCAGGTAAGAATCTCCTCATAAAATTCAAACACCTCATGAAGGTATGACGTGGTATGTTTGAGCAATGGGAGAAGTTGTGGTAAGCAAAAGTGAGTCACCTACAAACAAAGGAAAATTTGGTACAAGACTGAGAAATATATTTAAATCCATAAATACCAAGTAAGTTACATAAAGGAAAAAAACCCACAACATAACAAAAATGTAGCTGCTGTAAATTTAACAGGAAAAAAAAGCATTTTCAAGCTGTGATAATGACTATCATGGCAGAAAAGTGCACCAGAATGTTTGTCTTAACTGTGAGAGCAAAAACAGGAAAGTAATTTTTAGCAGACAATGCACAATAAGAATGTCTACTTACCTAATGATGTCTAACATTTAAAAACATGTGATGATGTTCTTTGATTTTGCAATCCAATTTCTTTTGGAGATAATATTTTTCTTCTATGTAGTAAAGTATTAGCTATTTTCAAATCAGTCAAGCAGTGCTACTGTTTAGAAGACTTGTTACAGCTAAAACTACAAGTAACCTTTCATATTGCTGATTTTTCCACAGACTTATGATGCAACCAATGACACTGACTCCAGCAGTGACACAGGAACCAAGTTGAGAATGATACATAACTTCAAGTCAGCTCTATAGAAGTCAAACTCTACAGAAATTTATCAGTTTGGGTTTTTCAAATATCAACAACTGATTTTTTTGTAACAGCTATTGTCTTTCACAAGTGAGTATGTCCCACCAGTAAAAGTCAACAGAATACCATTACTGAGGACTAAAATGTGATGTCTGTCTTTGGATCAAGTAAAATATAGCTATTTTCTAGTATTTGCCTATCATGCTTTCAAAAGAATATACAGGCCAGTCCTTACACTAAACTGGTAACTTAACCTGCCTGCCAAATCCATCCTTACCCAATCTGAAACTACAGATGTAAATATAAAATGGTGGACTTCAACACGACAGCAACAATCTGCTAAGAATGAAAACTCAAAGTCAAATTGAGTTCAGAAGACTAACCAATTGTGTAGCAATAATTTTCATCTATTACCAGCAACAGGATGAGTTTAAAGCTATTTTGAGAAATATGCTTTTACCAACTCCAACCAAATTAGCCCCACAAATTCAGGCATAAATGGAATTATTGCTCATTCAAAGGCTTAACTTTGGAGAGAAATTTAAATATAGGCATTACTAGACAAGTTCTATCATACAACTGTACTAAGGGGGGTTGTATCTAGACATATTTAATATTAATCCACATTAACCAATACATACTGGTTGCCACATAAAATAATCACCAATTCTTTAAAGAAAAAAAAAAATGAAGCCTCTATGAAGTTTATTACCTCATGCATGTATGGATCAACAAGGATTTCAAAAGGTCCGATTGCCAAGGAGATGTTAGAAGCTGCAGTTGGAATAGTCAGCATGTAATGAAAAGTCTTCTTTCTCATATCGTGGGTATATACAGTTTCCACCAAATCTCCATTTGAAACAGCCACCATTGCAGCATCTACTGTATACTCAAGTTTCCAGGTACATAACTCAGAATATGAATCAACACAAGGAAACCAAAATCTAGGGAAATCAGGATTGGAGGAAAAATGGTTAACAATTATAATTAAAAATTATACTCTCTTTTTCACAGATGATTCTTCTCTCAATTTCCAAACTCTTATTCTTAAATACTGTGAACATTGATATACTGACTCCTACTATACACTAATTTTATAAAGCACAAGTTTCTTTGCCATTACCTCCTGCTGAGCTATAAAAACTAGAAATCCTAAATACTAATCGTTAGATGCTGCTTCACATCGGTAAGCTCCTTTCAAGCACAAATTAAGTTTTAGAATTTTTCAAACTTGTAAGAATTCAAAGGAATTATTTGTATTTCCTACACTTTGAGATTAAACAGAAAACAGAGTCTAACATTCAAAGATAGTCTTCTTACCTTGTAGAATTTTGATAACCACATGAAAAGACATGAGCCCCTCTTTCTGCCATGCTGCCCTCCATGTTGGGTACCACAAAGTGAAGACCTCCTTTTGGCTGGTCCAGAGAAAAGTTTATATGCACCTTCAGGACTTTTAACTCTGCAGCACCAAGACCAAAATTGGAGTCAATATATACAACTTACATGAAAATTATTTCAGAATAATCATTCAGTTTTGGACTCTCGGTCTTTCAAGGTTATGTGTTTACTTCATTCTCGTGCACCTCCAGGCCCACCTACAAAGCACAGCTCAAAAGCTGAGACCTCTTAAGCTTAACTTACAGGACATGAATTTACAGGAATCTTTATTAATTAATAAAAACTGCAATTGGAGTTACATGTATTCTTCTAACTCCCCAACAGAAAGAACGCTTATACAGTGATTGTACCCTAACCATGATCTCCTTTGTACCTCGCTGAAATAATTTTCTACAAAAACTGCACGTAACAGCCACATTCTTTAAAGGCATGTTATTGTCATTTACAGTTTCTTAAAACCTCTTGTTATAGTTAAAGCTTTTCCTGTAACTTAAGTGTCTTTGCTTTGGTTTAGTTTCACAGAAATCTCACCTATGAATAGACTGACAAGAAAAGAAATTCAAGCATATGGTGAGATTTATCCAACAAGTCTCACCATATTCTGGCATTCAAACTTTGAAAAGAAAAATTATACCTGTTTGAATATTTTCCCTTCTAGGCTTGCAAGTGAGACAACAGGAACTTAAAAATTAAAATAAACAAAAGTGACTTTTGCATTAACATGTATCTGACAACATTGCGTGAGTCAGCTTCATGATACAGTTGTTATTATTCTCTCACAGGCCTCACAAGCACATGGGAAAAAATAATGAAACCATGTAAGAAAACAATACAAGAAACTAATAAAATCCACATAAGAAAATAATCAACATTGGAGAGCGATTTATTAGAACAGTTACTTGTTCCACGATCTAGTATATAAAGTTTATATACTAGTTTATAAAGCAGTCTACTTTTCACTACCAAATCAATTTTTAAATGACCATTCTTCAAAATGAGATAGGAAAGAATTAATACAGCTTTTCAAAACCAGATGTATATACATATCTTTGTAAATTATTTTCTTTGTTGGATCATATATATTGCAAGCAGCTTCAAAGTTACAATTTAGCATCCAATATACTCCTTTACACCCACCTCCTCATGTATACTCAGCTCATGACCACTCAAGAGTTTGTTTGTAAAGAGGTTAAGAAACCTTGCAACCACTCCTCCATATTACCAAGAAGTGCGAAGAAGTGTGAAGAAAAACAACTCTACGGCATCTTAAATTAAGCTTTCAGTATGGTCTCTTTACCATCAACATGTTTCCACAGCTCTGAGGGAACCTTAATGCAGAGTTCTCCATTTCCAGCGTCTGGGTCCACAGCACTGACTGCGGCAGCGTAGGCATTGGAAAAATAGTTGAGATTCCTCCTGTCAGAAATACCCAGTTAATTCTTAAAGTACACGTTGAACATCAAAACCCAACTTCGGAAGTTATATGATTTCTATACTGAATTTCACAGTGCATGTTCAACCAAGTACTTTGTTTCGTTTTTAAAGGAGTGGAGGGAAAAAGAAGTAAAGATTAGATTTCAAAAACCAAAACTTAAAATTAGGCTATTACACAAGTGATCTATAATCAAAAAGACTTCAGCAGTAATAATTCCCAATAAATGAAATAATAAATGCTAAGTGTTCTTTTCTTCCCAATGGGGTAATATTCACATTTATTGGAATAGAAATTAAAAATTCTTTTTTGGGAAAATTTTGGATTAAGTTTGCGTGTTTATTCTAAAGATCTCTCTTGAAGGTCCTCATATATTGCAGTTTTGCTTTTATGCTGCTTTTCTAAATGTACTAAGATTTTAGCTTGGCAACAGCATTTTTCCCCCTCTTAGCTTGGTGGATAGGAATAGTTTTATTTTATGCCCTTGTAAATATAAAATAAAAGATGCTAGAGTTTTGGCCTTAATACACAAACACAGTATGTATTATACTTTTCAGTCCCTAGAAACAATTTTTTTTTAAAGTCTTACCACCATTCGTTTCACTTCATTTATTTAGGACGTAGACACAAATTTCTGCAATCAGGTTTGAGCTGTTTAAGCTACCATAGATTAGCTGCTGATTGACCGCATATTTCATTCCAAAGTCATACCATTACTTCAGTTACGACTTAGACTAACTGTTTTCTACTGAAATGAGTAGGAACACGCATATGTCTGCTGCTAAAGTGATTATGAGCAGAATGTTCTTCTTATTTAATGTGATTATGTTTAGACACTGGTTACTCAAATACAACCCTGATTATGCATCTTTACGCAATAACCTTCCTTAATTCTAATCCTCTAGTACACAGAGCTCTTCAAAGGCTTGCACGACTCTATACATGAAGGAAAAGTGTTTGAATTACTTATTACATTTGTTTCCAGAAATTAGGTATCACTGATGAATCCAGCCACTGGGGGGGCAGAGCCACAATCAAGCATAAAGGTACCATAGAATCATAGATCACAGAATAGTTTGGGTTGGAAGGGATCTTTAAAAGTCATCTATCCAACCCCCTGCAATGATCAGGGACATCTTCCACTAGATCAGGTTGCTCAAAGCCCCGTCCAACCTGACCTTGAATGTTTCCAGGGATGGGATTCCTACCACCTCTCTGGGCAACCTGTTCCAGTGTTTCACCACCTGCATCGTAAAAAATTCCTTCCTTATTTCTAGTCTAAATCTACCTTCTTTTAGTTTAAAACCATTACTCCTTGTCCCATCACAACAGGCCTCGCTAAAAAGTTTGTCCCCACCTTTCCTGCAGGCCCCCTTTAAGTACTGGAAGGCTGCAATACTGTCTCCCTGAAGCCTTCTCTTCTCCAAGCTGAACAATCCCAACTCTCTCAGCCTATTCCCCTAAGAGAGATGATCCAACCCCCTGACCATTTTTGTGACCCTCTGGACCCACTCCAACAGGTCCAGGTCTTTCTTGTGCTGGGGGCCCCAAAGCTGAGCACAGCACTGCAGGTGGGGTCTCACAAGAGCAGTGTAGAGGGGCAGAATCACAGAATCATTAGATTGGAATAGACCTCTGAGATCACCAAGTCAAACCGTCGGCCTAACACCACCATGCCCATTAAACCATGTCCCAGAGTGCCCTATCTACACGTTTTTGAACACCTCTAGGGATGGTGACTCCACCACTTCCCTGAGCAGCCTGTTCCAATGTTTGACCACTCTTTCAGTAAAGAAATTTTTCCTAATGTCCAATCTAAACCTTCCCTGGCACAACTTGAGGCCATTTCCTCTCGTCCTATCACTTGTTACTTGGGAGAAGAGACCAACCCCCACCTCACTACAACCTCCTCCCAGGTAGTTGTAGAGAGCCATAAGGTCTCCCCTCAGAATACCCTCCCTCGACCTGCTGCTCACACATCTTTTGATGCAGCCCAGGATGCAATTTGCTTTCTGGGCTGCAAGGACACATTGCTGGCTCACATCCAGCTTTCCACCCACCAGTACCCCCAAATCCTTCTCCTCATGGCTGCTCTCAGTTCCTTCATCCCCCACCCTGTGTTGATATCAGGGGCTGCCCTAACCCAGGTGCAGGATTACTGTACCACAATGGAGTAAATTAACTTCTGGCTGCGGACTCCACTCTTCCTTGGAATCTGAAGTCCACATAAAGCAGACATGATCTCATTTCAGCATTTTACTTTCATCTAACCATTCTCCATTCACCACACACAGAGAAAATAGCACTCAACCCAAATTACAGTACCTTACTTGGAAGAACGAGGTGTGATTAACCATGCCAGCATCATCCTGTAAGTCTAAGTATGTCAAACACCATGCTTATATTCCTAGCCTTCCGCATCTAAAAACTTCGCTAAAACACTGAAATATATTAATAACATATTTTCATGCAGTTCTTCATCTTTGGCAATAATAATGCACAAATTCCCTGGCACTGCTACCAAGACTGAGAATGTCAGGAGCAGTAAACTTGTCTACTTTGCTTGGAAGCTTCTGAAAATAGGACATGAATAGTAAATGGGAGCATATGAGCACAGAAACACCCAAATACCAAGTTTTAATACATAATCATTTTTGCCTTTTCCATAGATGAACTGTACCTAAAGCTAGGGTATAACGCCAACAAGTTTTAAAAGCACAAGGCTGAATCTCTACCCTGGAATATACTATGACTTCGGCTGTGGTTCCAGAACAATTCAAACCAACTTAAACTGTAGCTGATGTGCTGCCTCCTAGTCTCAGCCACACATTCCTACTCCCTCCCTCATTAAGGTGATTACTGTTCATCCGACCCTGCGGTGACGCAGCTGAAAGTGCCAAATGGAAAAAAAAAACCCCAAACTGGTTTGGTTTTTTTTTTTTTTTGCAGACAGCCTTCAGCTGGTTTAGCTCCCTGATCTGACAGCCTGAGGGGTCAAAGATGTGCTACTACTGAGGCTTGGGAGACTGTCAATGGGACCATAACCACCCCAATCGATGGTGCTTTAAGCTGTCTTCAAATGGCATCCTAGGAAAGCAAACAAATACCATTGGAAAAATTCTCTTTAAAAAAAGACTGAATGACTAAAAACTACCTTAGTCATTAAAGAAACCAGCAACAGAAAGCAGCAGTAACATTCTGTTAGATGGTAAAGTCTCAAAGTTTTCAATTTTAATCTAAACTGGTTCTGAAAGTTCACCATTACTGACAGGGGATCCCTTTCCAATAAATCAGCGAGAATCTGTTCCAAGTCTGAGGATCATGATGAGGTTGTGGTTACATTTTAAACATCAATGGGTTCATAGACAGGAAAAGGTTATGATTTTATAGCAAGAAAGGTAGACTCCACAGGGCTTAACATTTTATGGAAAACAGTCTATTCCGATATTTCTATTTTTGTGAATGTTCCAATTCAAATGGGTGATTCATTGTAAAAGGAATCCATTAAAGGCTTAGTACCACAGATTAATTTTTTTGTAGGTTGAACTATTCTCAATAAATTGCATGTGGCCATTTTAACAAAAACAGCACATGCCAAAAGTTACAGCACAAGGAACAAAGATAAATTTTCCTAATGCTAAGCGTAGATTGACAATGAAAAAGTAACATGCATTCATGTTTTTTTGCTGGTAGTGACACATTTTATTATCAGAAGTTACCCAAAACACTGTTAATTGCAGCCCAAGTGCATGCTTGCTGACTGACTAGAAACAAGCAATCCTGCAGAAACTTATTTTTTAAAGCTACTCATTGATTCCAAGTATCTCCATGTCAATTTTCTATACAATCTCTCACTACTAGCTGTAGCGGTGCTACTTAACTGTACACAGCCCAAACATACAGTCTATAAACCACCTTCTTCCTACAGTATTTAACACAACTTGGCAAAATAAGTTCTTTGATCCACATGTAATTCATTACTCTTCATTATGTGTAATTCATTTACTATTCTACTTTGCTTCCCAGTTACAATTAGCACTTGCTTTGGAGTCCAACCTCAAAATATATTATATAGCATATATTATATATAGCATATTTTCATATATATAAAAAATATGTACACATATAGGTAAATTATTAATAAGGCAACGATTTGAATCTTTCGCACACTGAAAAACATGATTTTCATTCTTGCCTAAGGTTGAGGGTTTTGCCATCTCTTTCTACACCTCTGTTTCTTACGAAGTGTATCATGAATTTACAACTAGATAAGCATCATACCAGTGGAAATGAAGGCTATTTACTGCAGCAAACCAACAACTGCTCAGTCCACCAGTAATTTTTCTTTTTTATGCATAGGCTAAAGGCTTGATCACTCACTTCTCAGAGGAAAGAATATTGCAAGACATGTCCTGAAGGCTACCACATTGCTCTCTCTCACAGCTTACTGCTGCTTGTACAAGTGAAGTTGGAGGATATCAAAACGTCTTCGTATTTTTAAAAACTAGAGGCTTAAAAAAAAAAAAAAAAAAAAAAAAGCTATGCTAGTGAATAAACAGGTACACGCTGCTGAAGGTTACAATTAACCCTGACTGGAGCACCTACACACAGGAAGGCCTCATGTGCACATTAGCTAGCTATACCAAAACATATCTTCCTTTACACAGAAGGAGTAACAAAATGCAATAGCTTCTCAACCCTGCATCGCAGCTATCACACAAACACGTGAAGCACATAACCAGGCAACAGCGGGATCAACACAAACGCCACTTACCACAGATCAAACCACTGCATCAAAACTCCAAACTTTTGCTGTGGCTACTTAATTAAGTAAGGATTGTAGGATTAAAAAACCAAGAGATCTCTTCTGCCTGTTTTAACATAAAAGGGGCTGAGATACAAGCAGTTGTCTCAGTGGGATTTCTGCACACTATAGCCCAGAAAAATAAATCCCACTTCCCTTATATTGACAGAATTGAGAAAGCAATGATTTACAAGGAAAAGAGGGAAAGTAAGGAGAACAGGGGCAGCTGTAACATTTAACAGCAGCAGCCCTAAGACAAGGCCCAAACAGACATTCTCCAACACTGTGCAAGATTTCAAACTCTTCCTTAAAAGTATGAACAAAATGGTATTCTCTGCCACCTTGTGTACACATGGTAAAACTATGTGAGCTGTTTTATACCTTACAGCACTGTTCAGATGCTTGCTCATTCAGGGAGAAAGTGACTGCATTATGTAAGTTCATCCATTTATTCAGATATGAAAAAGCTATGATGTCCTGAAGCCTCAGGAGGAAACTACAAAGTGAAAGACTGACTTTATTTCTAGATAAAACTTTAAAAGTTCTCTCAGCTGTTACCTGAAATTACGGTTTGGGACTGCTAGATAAACTGGCAATGGCATCAAAGCCGAAAATATATTTAATGCACTAATTAAAGGCTTCTAACATTTCCTACAAAATTCACCAATTTTTAATTACCTTTTTAGCGAGGGTTTTTTTGTCATTCAGAAGTGACAACATGCAAACCAAAAAAAAATTGTTTCATCTCCTGCAACACTGAAAATGTGAAATGACAGGACCACGTGTCATTTTTGCATCAATAGACCATAAAACCCAGAAGTACTACTTGAGCTGAAAACAAGTTGCATGTTCAAATTCAGAACACAAAGAGCTGACCTGACAGAAGATCCCACCCAAGAAGTAGCAGAGAACATCACAGTGAGACAGAAACAATTTCAGCTGGTGCTGCCTGTATTTCACAGATAAAGCTCTCTTCAACCTTGACTTTCTCAACCCTCTTTTAACTGTGTTTTCTTGCATTGCAAAATTTGCACAGCATAAACAATTAACTACTTCACTTCACTTGACCTTCACCTCCTATCAGCAAACATAACCTCTCAAGTCACAGATGCTGTAGCAAATCTTCCCAAAGAAATAATTATAGTGGCTTTAAATACAGAATTTTCCATTTTCAAATGAATTCTGTTGCTAACTAACAGAGTAAGAAGTCTTTAAAATATGTTTACTTTGATAAAAAAGGTAGGAAAGAGTCCATTATATTAACAATTTTTTCTAGATATTTCATGTATTCTTTCAGAAATCAACATTTAAGAAAACCAAAAGCATCATCAAAAACAAGAAAATGTTTTTATACAAAACCTTAAAACTTGACTGTATTTTTTATTTGCTACACATCATAGACAAGAGTAAAGATATAAACCAAATTACTTTAAATAAAGAGGTTGCCAAGAGCCACCTTCAGTTCACGTTTACTAGTTCAATAGACTACTGAAGAAAACGGCGCAAAACATTAGAAACAATATACTGATGTACAAATAGAAACAAATAATTGATATACCCATTTCAGCTTGCAAGGACATCACTAAACTTGCTGTAACACACAGGAACTTGGAAGAGATGATCAGATGATTAGATATAAAGACGACTACAAACCACTACTGTTTATAGAAGCAGTTCTTTGTAAAGAAGGGCAGAGGAAGCTGACAATTTTTTTTTTTTTTAGGTACTAATTCTAGGGTTTTTAGATTTCTAGCATGTCTGTTTGTAATCCTGCCTTAACAGCAGAGATGCTGTATTTAATCAAAACTTACCTACCATCATGCTCAGTACCCAATTGTGACTGGGTATTTCAATGGAAAAAATACACATCTCATCTAATACTTTGTAACCCACGTAGCCTTTGACTTCTGAGGTACAGAGAATGGGGACATTAGGTTTTTTGTTAAGAATATTTGGTGACTTCTGTCTTTCATAACTATGAATAACACAGGAGGTACAAAATACAGGGACTTTCTATTAAGTTCACGTAGCAATGTGAAAACCCGCAGCAGTGAAAACCACAGGCCAATGTAGTCATGTATTTCACTTTGCATGCATTGTCCTCAAATTTCATTCACTTCTCTTAAACACACATAAGATGAAAAAAGGATGCCACTAGGACACTAAAAGAAACTTACTTTCTCCACAAAATGACAGCATTATCTCTCCTGATTGACTTCTTCACATAACGGAGTGCTCACTCCGATAATTTTCAATGCTACTCCTTTCTCACATCTTCCAGAAGTTATTCAGGATTCAGTTACTACAGAATCACAGAATGGAAGGGACCTCTGCAGGTCATCTGGTCCAATCCCCCTGGTCAAAGCAGCGCCATCTAGAGCCAGCTGCCCAGGAGCATGTCCAGGTGGCTTTTGAGTACCTCCAAGGATGGATACGCCACAACCTCTCTGGGCAAACTGTCCCGTGTTCAGTCACCCCACAGTAAAAAAAGTGTTTCCTGATTTTCAGAGGGAACCTGCTGTGTTTCAGTTTGTGCCTGTTGCCTCTGGGCCTGTCACAAGTTAAAACACATGAAATTCCATCTGAATACAAGAAAAAGCTTTTCTGCTGTGAGGGTCATCAAACACTGGAGCAAGTTGCCCAGAGAAGACTGCAGAGTTACCCTCCTTGTAGATGCTTAAAACCCAACTGGACACAGCCCTGTGCAACCTGCTCTCACTGACCCTGCTTGAGCAGGCAGGTTGGACTAGGTGCCCTCAATAGGTCCTTTCCAATCTAAAGGACTCTGTGATTTCATACCAGCTGCTGTTAAATACGTATAGCACTTTCACTAGAAGTTCTTTAATAATTCAGCAAACTGTAAATTCAATCAAGCCAGCCAAAAGAAGGTGTGCGAACATGAACATAAGCTTCAGTAAAATCAAAAGAGACTACTTAGAGCAAACATTTGCCCATGGTGCTTCTCCTACTGAAAACCAAGTATGGGATTTTTTACCAAAGTTTCTTCTCATATAGTTTCCCCAAAACATGTGGGAAGCCTCATGTTTTTAAACTTGCTCTTCAGTATCAGAAGGTGAATAAATTTGAAACCTTTCTTTCAAATTTCAAAGTGATGTTACACAACATTCTAGGACTTATACCTTATGCTAATAAATAATGGAAGTTTGATTCCTTAGAAAAGACCAAAAGCTTTACTTTCTAGCTCTTCAGAACAATTAGAATCCCCTCAGCGCAGATTCTGAATTTTTAACTTACTGAGCAATAGCAACAACAACAACAAAAAAATCAAGCCACAAAACAGACAGGAATTACAGAATTCATAGACTCAAGGGGTTCAGTATCAGGACTCCAACAAAATTTCAGAACTCTGACATCCAGTTCAGTGATCTATATAAATGAACACTGTATTTGCAAACTGAATTATTGAGGTAATGAATAAAGGAATATAGAGTGTCTGCCACAAACAAACAGTTCAAATCCAGTGATGCATAACAGAATAAAAAGCAGCACTTAAATCTCAGCAACTGAACAACAGAAGCTCTGTTTAATGCTCTAGTTTTCAGACGACAGTCAGAGAAGTTAAGTCAGGTTTAACCTGAAAACCGAGACAGGCTACGAAACATCTCAAAGGCTCTAGTCATTAAGGCAATGGGCAGACAACCCCTTATGGATCTACCTACCCCACTTGACAATGCCACTATTCTCACAAATCTAACCAGCAGCACTGTGTGAACTCTGCAGCTTACTGCAGCATAAGTCTAGCCAGTTCCTATATGCCTTCATTAGCTACATGAGTTAATCAAGGTGACATCACTTCTGAAGCTGCTTACTGAGCCCTCTCCACCTTTTCAGCTAGCAAATCTCTCAGAGCAATCACTGTCCAGGGGGACGCAACAAATAGCTGAAGGACAGTAATAAGCATCTTAATTTAGTAGTCAAAGAGTTAACCTGATACGTCACATGATTTGCCTTACTCTTATTATTTGTTTCAAAGTAATAAGCTAATTATATATAAGGCTATCTAGACATATTTAATAAAATCAGAAGTAATCCTTACAAAATCTTATTAGGAAAATGAGAAATATTGCCAAGAACTTTGATACCATATGAATATTTTTAGATTTCAAAATAGGAAGGAACAAAAATGATCAACCACTCTGACACTACAAATCATAAAAATCGGGACAATTTTTGCAGGACAAATTATCAGAACACAATTTTGGTCTATGTAATATTATACGGATGCAACCAAGTTGATTTAACCAGCTGTGCTGGAGTAAAAAAAAAAAACACAACAGAAAACAAAACAAAAAAGGAAAATAAAACACAACAAACCCCTACAAAATCCAAACCTAAAAGCAATCCTCCCACATGGAACTCTCATATGAATGCACCACTGTAAAACGTTCTCTACAAGAATATAAACAAAATGCTATTGCTGCAATAATCTTCTTTAAATAAATGAGAGTGAACGTTGGGCACAGATAAACCTCAAGTCCATCAATGACAAAACATTGTAGCCAAAAAAGTTTCCCGAAATTCAGTCACCTTACCATTACCATTAGGAAATCACCAGCTAAAACCTGCCAGTACACTACAATAGGTCACGCTTAACAGCAACAGAAGACACTGCATCTGCAGAGTTTTAAGCACATCACTTACTGCTTTGACTCATGGTGACAAACCTCCAGCGTTGGATCGTTATAGATGAATGCTGCCTCTAAGTCGTTGACTCTCACTCTGTAAATCCGGCACTGTTTACTGTTCAGTTTGATTCTATTCAGGTTTGCAACTGTGGGAAATATTGTCAGTTCCACATAACCCTAAGAAAACAGAAATCAAAGCCTTCTATAAAATCTTTACCAACTCACAAAGCAGAGATATATAAACAAAATTCTTATTAATGCATTTTGAAGGAAAATCATAGGTATAAAAATGCTAATTTTTTATTTGAAAAGGAATCTGGTTTGCCCTTTTAGATGTCTGGAATACATTTTCTTTCATACTATTTAACAGGTGAATTTTCCCAGCTGTGAAATAAAATGAAAGAAAACAAAAAACTTCAACATGACTGACAGTCATGCTTGTTTTACTGGAAACGATCTGCCTCTATTGACTAGATTTCAAGTTACTAGCATCACTGCGTTTTTCATCACTATATTTAAGGTTTTGGTATCTGAGCTTGTGACAATGATTTTTAAAACCTGAGAAGAATCCATTTAGGCAGATACCTAAATTCTCAAAAAGCCTCAATGACTTCAGGCCTGAAATCATGAAAGTCTCTTCAAAGCCCCAGTGAACTCCCACACAAGCTAGAAACGTCTGTCACCCTGTGCCCAGCGTCAGCTCACGCTCTGCCGAAGGTCATTTTGAATTGCAAATTGCTTCGTAATACTACTTACAATGCAGTGACCTTCTTTCCGAAAGCTTTTCCTTACAGAGATTAAGGTTCACAATTAGAAGTTATTGTATTTGACACATCTCAAGGAATGACAGAGTTTCGAGAGGCATCAGTTTAGAAACCATAAAATACAAAGAAACTGAACAACTTAATTGGCTTGTGTGTGCAGTTGTTGCCTCTAAAAGCATGAAGAAAGCCCAGACTTTTAATTTCTACTTTTACATTTTATTAAAAAATACTTACTACAACAGACTTTCTCTGAAAATTTATGTTGTTGATACAAACTACCTGGTGAGTTGTGCTGGAAAAAAAAAAAAATAAGATAAGTAAGGTTTTGCACAAGTGCCAGCATTTAAAATACTATTTCAACCCAGTTTTAAAAAAAAATAGCTTATACAGGATGTATGTACATATAGATACTACATATAGCATATACTTAACGTCTAAATCTCTTACATGGTCCAAAACATGTAACAAGTAGAAGTTACACACATGGTCAGAGAATTAGCATTAAAATTAAATATAGTATCATACTGGTATGAATATTACTAGTAATACAGGAAGGTAACAACATCGCTTTTTAACATCACGTAACAGTACGTAAAAACACAGTACCCCTAACGGCACAGAACCACGTTCTAACACTTCAGGGATGTGCAGTGTTAGAAACAGCACGCAGCCCTAGCGTTTGCAATCAGAGACCCACGGAATCGCTACCTGGCGAGCTGACTCTCATACATAACTTATGGAAGCAGGTACTATACACAAAAAAAGACATAGTATGTGCTTTTACAATTAGTATACCATAAGAATTTATTATTTTAAATAGTAATCAAGATAGCTATTTTAAATAAATCAAATACATTTGCTTAAACTTTGAATGACGTATTAGAACTCCTGGTAAATAAAACTCTGATTTAAAAAATGGAAGATAAAGTAATAATTCCAACTTTAAAAAAAATCAGTAAGTTATTTTTACATTTTTTCTGTAGTAGGTGGCATCTTCACCACACTTCACAGTAGTGCTATTCATGACTTAAGACACAACCTTGTAATAATTCAACTTTTATGCCACTTCACACATTATATACACATACTCGTGTACCCTCTGCATTAAAAAGTGACTTTGCTTCAGCTGAGTAAGTTCAATAAAAATTCCTACAAGATAATGGCAACATCCAGTATCCAGTGATGGATTCAGACATTACCTGCACATTAAAATGTATACGATAACAAGAGCGATTCTATTTAGAAATACATTTGTGTTACAGATTTATAAAGAAATCAAGGAGATATAAATAGAAAAACATAAAGAGCCACTGAAACCCACAACCAACTGCTTTACAGCTTGGCTAGAACCAAAATAATGAATGTGTGAAAAGTGACAAATTTGCTTAACAAAGCTGCTTGCCGCAAACGCAAGCATCTTTTAATATATCTAAAAAAGCCCTCAAGTCAAAAGGGTTTGACACAGCAGTAAGAATGAAACATGGTAGCGTGGTCTGTAGTGCTGATATTGTGTGGAGAGATCTCCAAGGTTTGAAGAGCACAATGTAAGTATCTTTATGAGACTGCACGGGTGACACTCAATGCCCACGAGTGAGTCCATTACACAATAAAACAGACACCTACACACACTATGCGAGCTACACCATAGCCAATATTTCCAGCCTTCTTAGGTAAATAATTACGGATCAGCCTGTGGCCTGTTTCAAATGTGCATTGGTCTCAAGCATAGTAACTTTAAAAAACATGGATACTTATAATTTATATGGTCTTGGGCTCTCAAATCCTTTGTCTCCTTTCTTCCTATTCATCGTGAATAGCAGCACTAAACACACACTGCTGACCGTCAGACTGGCATCAACATCATCCTCGCTTCATAGGTCCTTCGGTTCTTCCCTGTGTCAGGCCGAATTTGATCACTCATCTCCCCAGTGGATCCGTGACTCCCAGCAGTCAGGCATCTTCAGCTCCCATGAGCACCACAGCTATAGCGCAAACAACACTCAGTCTTTCTGTGTAACCTTTTACGAGTGCAGCACACAACCCCGCTCTCCACTCGGGGTACGATACCAGTTCAGAGGCGCTGCGTGCTTCTTTCCCGCAGAAGCCACGTAAATCAACGGGCAGCGGAGGTGGGAGCTACCGGATCAGGAAGGCCGCGGCGGCTGGGCAGGCACGGCCGAGGGGTCCCCCCGCTCCTGGA